TAGCCTCTCTTAGAGGCAAACATATTTTTAATTGATTGTTTTGATATAACTCCACTAACGTGGGATAAAATAAAATTACAATAGCATGTGAATGAACTGTACCTCTTGATGACAGTCTTTCTTTCATCCGCATTTCTCACAACTTCCTCCTTCGGGACACTGTCTCGATCAGTTGATGTGGAGGACAATTCTTCTACCTCAGCTGACTTCTCATGCTCTCGAGCTGTGTTTGGACAACAAAAAGGGCATGCTCATTCACAACAACACCCAAGCTACATTTGACTTGAGTCGTGTAGTAACTAAGACAACTGATGAGGAGAATGAACGTAAGATAATTAAAAATTAACCAGAACACATTGTGGTCTGCATGTGATTCGATACGCAAATTTCGTGCTGTTAGTACGGTCTTAAGAGTCTGGGAAGAGTAGGTATCCTATTTAACATGGCGGACCTGATGACAAATTTTGATGATCAAAAGCAAAGAACGTTTGTGTCAGATATGTACCACGGAATGTATGTATGAGATCTACGGCTAATCAAACCATCGAAAATCGATGAAGAGGTGGGCTGGAAGGAAACAAATGATCCTCAAGATAAACATAAGACCTTTACTTTAAGCAAAGTGCATACTAAGACTAGGTTATATTGTTGCAGGAATAGGACATGGCTTAAAGACCCGATACCAAACATCAGTCATTTGTATAACTCTTGCCCATTAATTTTTACGATTAATTTTCGCACGAAGACATTTAATTCCTGAAAATTTTGACCAGAGCTATTTGTTTTATTTTGTCGATGTGTTGTGGTACACGTGGGCTTAGTAACTGCAACTTGCTAAACCAAACGAGACGACTTGCAATCTGAAATTTAGCAATATTAAGAAATCTGTAAATTTACGGAATGGAAGTCTTTAAAAAAATGGAAATCTTTGAGTGGTGAAATGAGAAATCCGTAATTTGATAAATGGAAATCTGTAATCTCTGAAACGAAGTCCATGTGCAAAACTTCACCAGCCGGAAGAATGAATCGTTCATTTCCCAGCAAGAATTAATGCACGAGCAGTACTGAACCCAATTTTTTCCTTTTATAAATTCCAACATTATTTGACTTTAGTTTTGACAAGAGTGGACTGAAAATGACCCTTACCAAAGAACAAGTATGGGAGTGATATGGCAAAACATGGGCCATATATGACCCATATCTGGGAATGGTATGGGAAGATTGAATGAAGATATGGAACTGGTATGGGGCTCAATTTCGCCACATTTTAACGTATGGAAAATGTATGGGAAGAAAAGCTGATGCTATCTATTGTATGGGAAAGCTATGGGAACACAATTTCCATATATATCCCATAGCAGCAACAAATTTGCTTGCTCTACATCTTCTATGGGAATGATACGGGATATGACCGCAAAGCCATACCTGTAAGGTCCGCTGAGTCCTAAAATGCCTCGTTTCAGTGCTTGCCCCATTCTTCGTCCGAGCGGCAGCCATTTCATTGAAATCGGTGTATAAGAAAAAATTTCTCTCTCATGTCCCTTTTGTTTTTTAAGGGCAGAACTCGTCCACTACATTTCATTTACGTTTTTCAACCAAAGACATCATGATTGAGCCAACATGACTGGTAACATATAGAGGGGAAAAGCCTTTCATGGGGACACCAATTTCTACAAAAGTGGCAAACAGTTTCTCTTTTGCGTGACCATTGCGGCAGCCGAAGTGATTTGAAAGTAATAGAGAAGAAAGAATCACTAATATTTATCGCCAAAAGGTCGTGACCGAAGTCTTTGCTTAAATATTCTGCCCAGGCGGCAAAATGAGATATATTTGTGAAAAATTGCAATGAAGCTTGAGATGTTCTGCAAAGTGACTCAAGCGAAACGGATACTTCCCGCTGTGAGCGGGCCGGATGGGGAGAACACTGCCCGCTTTCGGAACCAATCAGATTGCACGATTTGTAGAATACCGCCCGCTCACGAACTGAGAGAAAAATAAATAACATTATTATATGGCTGTGTCTCACAAGGACTCGAAACTACCGAATTCACGAGTTTGACTGGCTGAAATCAATATTGAAAGCGGTCTA